AGAGACACAGCGAGAGAGGGAACACAAGCAGGGGGAGTGGGAGAGGGAGAAGCAGGCTTCCCGCTGAGCAGGGAGCCCAGTGCAGGGCTCGATCCCAGGACCCTGGGATCATGACCTGAGCCAAAGGCAGACACCCAACGACTGAGCCACCCAGGCGCCCTTTGTTTAATCTTTCTAAGCTTAAGACTTTTTTTTTTTTTTTTTAAGATTATTTATTTGTTTGAGAGAGAGCACACATGCACAAACGGGGTAGGGGCAGAGGGAGAGGGAGAAGTAGACTCCCTGCTGAGTGGGGAGCCTGATCCCAGGACCCTGAGATCATGACCCAAGCCAAAGTCAGATGCTTAACCTATCAAGCCACCCAGGTGCCTCTAAGCTTTAGATTTCTTATGTGCAAAATAAGCATAAAATTGTCCCTACTTCATAGAGTGGTTGTGAGGATGAAATGAGATAGTATGGGTAGATTGCCAGCACATGGTATGTTCTTAATACGTTTAGCTATTAATTTTTACTAATCATCTATTTGCCAGATCTTGGGATCAAAGGAGAAGTAATACCCAATACCTGCCCTCAAGGAGTACCCCCCCCAACTCTAGTGAGGGGGAGGGACACATACAGGGCTAACCGTGATAACATAATGCATGGGATGTTAGATGCTATGAGAACACAGGAGGGGCACTCAGTTCTGTTGGGAGGCCTTGAAGAGAGAGAGAAAGTTAGTGTTGAACCTTCATGGATGACCAAGAGACCAGGAATGAACCCAGTAAGGACTGGGGCTGGCGGGGGTGGTGGGGGTCCAGTGTCATCCCAGACAAAGGGAATACCATGAGCAAAGATAAGCATGCTGACATGCTAAGCTATAGCATGGCTTAGGCCTTCAGAAGTAGTTGTAAATATAGGAGGATCTTGAGGTTTTTGAGCTTCAGGACAGAAGACACGTTCACAGGTAGAATCCTAACCCACCTTGTATCCTCGTCATTGATGTTCTCACTCAGGGCCTCCCACCCCAGACTCTGGCCATCTCGGTCCTCCAGTTCCTTCTGCTCTCCCTAGATTGTTTACAACCTGCTTTCTCTGCGCTTCAACTCTCGGATCCGTGTGAAGACCTATACAGATGAGCTGACACCTGTTGAGTCCACTGTTTCTGTGTACAAGGCAGCTAACTGGTATGAGAGGGAGGTAAGTTACTAGACATGGTGGATCCTGCCTCTAGGCCAGAGTTGCAGAATTGGTTGAAACTATTGCATGCAGTGCATCCTCACCCCTGTGTTGGCCATGATGGACTAGTTGCCTGAGGGCCTCTTTTTTTCTAGATCTGGGACATGTTTGGAGTTTTCTTTGCTAACCACCCTGACCTAAGAAGGATCCTGACAGACTATGGCTTTGAGGGACATCCTTTCCGGAAAGACTTTCCCCTGTCTGGCTACGTTGAGGTAGGAGGAACCTTGAAACTGGGGCAGCAGCCTCGGAGAAGGACTGGCAGGGAACCTGGATATCCTGGGAATGGCAGGAAATATGGTCTGTGTATTGTGGTGGGTCTAAGAACATAGGCTCGGGGCAGGGAGAACATAGGCTCTGGATTCAAATCCTAGCATCACTTTTGTAATCTGGGGCCTGTTACTTACTTTCTCTGTGACGATTTTCTCAGCTGCAAAATGGTAACAATAGTACTTAACTAATAAGATTTATGGTGAGCTAAATGATGTATGGTTACAGCCTGGTGTCCTGTAAATACTCAGTTGACACCAGCCATTATCATAATCATTTTAATGACCAAGGTGACCTTGAGGACACACTTCGTCTGTCCACAAGATCTAAAAGCAAAGGACCATTTGCCCTGCCCTGGACCTCTGAGAAGGCACCTGACAGGGAAGACACTAAATGTTTAGCCCTTGAGAATGGTCAGAGGCAGGATCAGTAACGTGTGACTACAAGGGCCTTATGAAGAATTCCACTGCTTTGCTTTACCACCCTTGTGCTACAGGTTGTTCAGGAGCAGGAAGATGGTCTACTGCATACATAAACGTGATTTTGTAGCAAAGTAACTTTTTAGAAATGCTGAACTAGTGGCAATCCACCCTTTCTCTTCAGTACCCAAAGATGCCTGTTTCCTCAGTGTTTTGCATGGTCTCATTTGCTTCTCCAGCTCCTTCCGGTTAGGGCTACTTCCCTCTCCTTGTTTTCACGGTCTCCCTTATCTGGTTTGCCTCTTCACCCCACCACCTGTTTGTCTTTACCTTATCCAACTGATCCTCCCACCAAGAAAAGGAATGCCAAATTTATTGCCTTGTATCTTGACAGTGATAATGCCAAAGCCACATGGTCTGAACCTAAGTGCTTGCTAGTTTAGGTTCACTCTTTTCAGCCACTGACTTGCTTCCTAATCCTGGGCTGATGCTTACCATTTCCTTATAAGAGTGGATGGGTGAGCAAAGTCAGTGGTGCTGGAAAAGTTGCTCCGAGCTTATGATGTGGGGATGGTGAGCAGGGGAGTGTGGCTGGGTGATAGCAGGCCATTTTGGACTAAGGGTGGGATGTGACTTGATCGGTAATACTGAAGTGCATGGAGACTTGCTGACAGAGGCTGGAATAGCACTCAAGGACAGAGAAGTAATGCAACTGGTGAAGTCACCCGTGCCCTTGGGAACATAGGCTCCTTAGAGGCTCAGTAGCTCTGAACAAGGTCTTCCTCAGTGCTTAAACCGTTCTCTTCTGCAGTTACGCTATGACGATGAGGTGAAGCGGGTGGTGGCTGAGCCGGTGGAGTTGGCCCAGGAGTTCCGCAAGTTTGACCTGAACAGCCCATGGGAGGCTTTCCCTGCCTATCGCCAGCCCCCTGAGAGTCTCAAGCTTGAAGCAGGAGACAAGAAACCTGAAACCAAGTAGCTCCAAGGAAGGCATGTGGATACTAGAAAGCAGTTTATCTATAACTGAGCATCCCTGTAAATAAAATCCTTAGGTGAATGACTTCTTGTGTGCTTACGGGTCAAGTGAAGCTTGACTCGGGAGAGGGGTTTTTTCCCCCTGTCCCTTAAAGAGAATACCAACCCAGGAGTCTTCTTTTAGTACAGTTGCAGACATGGTGACCTGTAGGCCTGGATGTACTTCTGAGAGAGGGATTCTGGAGCTGAAATGGAAAGTTCTCACTGTCCACAGGGCTTAGGATGGGTGTGGCATGGCGTCTCCTGAAAATTGGAGGGCCCTCAACAACTGCAGGAGAAAACCCCTGGTCACAGCAGACTGTCTGGTGGCAGCTGATGGATCGAGGGGTCTAGGTGGAACCAGGGAAACCCCCCCACCACCACCCTCATCCCATCCAAGCATCCACAGGGTTCCACGAGCCACAGCTCAGTTTAGAGTCTTGAACCCTGCATCCTGCTCCCCGCTAATAGCCCATCACGCTTGGGCTAAGGTAATCTTCCTGGACTCCAGCCAGAGCTGAGAATGTTGTAAGCAAGCAAAGGAAGTCCCAGGGCTGCTGCAAAAGATACTCAGAAGCTGCAGATCTGTCTTCTAGGCGACAGGACTCTACCCTAACCAGCCTGGGGTCTGTATGGCTGGTGGCTGAGTGCCCGAGGTGCAAGTGCTCAGCTCTGCTGGTCCATGGGGCCACCCAGCCAGCCTGCCATGTAGATGGAGAACCATTGCAGTTCCAGAACCAAGCTTTGCAGCTGATGCTTTTGGCTGCTGAGGGGCTCCCTGGAGGCTGGGCTGGGCTGGGCTGGACTGGGTGTTAGAGCCTGAGCTCAGCTGCAGGATGTTTTGGGGTTGAGGACAGATAGTAAGGTAGTGTTACTGCCTGGGCTCTTTCCTACTTCTTGGGAGGGCCAAGCTAGAGCTGTTCGCTACCAAGCACCATTTTTCTAGTAAGCAAGCATCCCGCCCATCTGGACAGGAACAGGCTGAGGGCTTGACAAGCAGGGAGCCAGACTCCTACCGCCAGCAACTAAAGATTCCACATTTCCATGGGATGGAAAGGTCCTGGGAAGTCAGAGCCAACCCCTCCCTGTTTAGCATTGAAGGCTGACACACAAAATAGGGAACGCCTGAGCAGCCTGCAGTGGAAAGTTGGAGCTGTGGTGTGTGGCGGGCGGATGCAGGAGCAGAGAGCAGCTGGGGAGAGGAAGACTCAGAGGACGTGGTGGGACATGGCTGGGACGATGCAGTTCCTGGCTTGGCTAATAGTAACCATTTGCCTTCTCCCTGGGGTGACTACAACCCAGCACTGTCCAGGTACCGGGGCTTTAGGGTGGTGTGGATGGGAGCCAAGGAATGCTGCTGGCTGATAGCAGCTAAAGTTGGTTCTATCTGAACCTAGCAGGGCCTAGGCACTGTGGGCCTGGTACCAGATTAACCTATGCAACAGGGGTAATAGTCTGGGCTCCAACCCTGGAACCAGAAAGTCCAAGTGAAGGGAGGTAGTTCCAGGTGCCCTCACTGCCAGCCCTGGACAGAGGTGGACAGTGGCCTTATTCTAGATGTGCAAAGCAGGACCTCTGGACCTGCCCTGGGCTTGGGACCATCATTCTAAGGGCTGAGCAGCACACCAGTGTGTGAGATGAAGGAAGCTGCAGCAGACAACCTGCCTTGCCTGGCTTCCCTGCCTTTTGCATGATCACTACTGAGGAGCAAGGAAGGAGCAGATTTCTTCCTAAAGGGGTCCTTGACCCTTGAGAGTCACTGGCACTGTTTTAGGTCACACTGTCCCAGATGATTATAGGGAGGGGAAGTCGGAAGTGAAGTGTCTTGTGACCCAATGGTCGAGTTCTTTGCCAAGGGAACTGCAGAAGTTCAAGGAGGAGTCCTGGACATTTGCTGAGGTGGTATCTGGGTTTGGGATGATGATTTGGGGATCACAAGACCTATGCCTGGGAGGGTGAATGTCAATGTGTGTGTGTGTGAAGGGGGACATGGGATGGCATTCCTGCTCTTTTGTAGATAGAAGAACCTCTAGGCATTCCTACCAAATAGCTAAGGGGCACTTCTGGGAGGCTGGGGTATTCAGGATGGAGCTTGGCAGGGGCCTGACTCCTTTCTGCTGGCCCAGGGCAGCCCACGGACAGCGCCAGCGTGGGAGGTGGCCTGCAGGAGCCAGAGGCCCCGGAAGTGATGTTTGAGGTCTTTCCTCCAGCCTGGGATATGGGGGAGGGAGTGTCCAGAGGTCCCTAAGCTCAGGGTTGGGAAGGGGGATGTCTCAAGCTAGGCCTGCTGGGTGGGGGGTGGGGGGGTAACCCAGCATGGGTCCTACTGCCTGCTTATGCCCTCCCTGGCCCACTCTTGTTCCCTGCCCTGCCCTCCCAGGCCCCAGCCCACCCCTTACATGGCTCCCCTTGCAGCTGCTCTGGGCTGGTCTGGAGCTGGATGTCGTGGGGCAGCTGCATATCCAGGACGAGGAACTGGCATCCACACGCCCAGGCCGCCGACTCAGGCTCCTCCTGCAGCAACATGTGCCCAGTGACTTGGAGGGTGCTAAGCAGCGGCTGCAGCAGTTCCAGGACCTGCGGAAAGGGCCTCCTCTTAGCCCTTGGGACTTTGAACATCTGCTCCTCACAGGCCTGTCCTGTGTCTACCGGCTCCATGAGGCTAGTGAGGCTGAGGAGAGGGGTCGCTGGGCCCAGGTCTTCGCCCTGCTGGCACAGGAAATACTCTGGGACCTGTGCAAGGGCTTCTGCCCCAGGGACAGCCCCCATCTTTGGGGCCCTGGGCCTTGATCCTTGACCCTTTTCCCTGACTCTCCCCTTTCACCTGCCAACCAACCACTGCCCCCCAACTCGTGGCCCAAGCCAGACCCATCCTGGGCAGTGGCTTCCATCTGGCACGTGGTCCTTCCCACTGGAAGTAGAAGCTTGGATTGTACCCTGAACCCAGTTTACCCCTGCCCCATTTTCTTCCCTGAGCCCTGGTAGGCTAAGAGCCTGGGTCTCAGGACACAGGCACAGAGCTAAAAGCAGGACTTGCAGGTATGTGTTGGGGTTAGGGTTGAGAAGTGTGTTCAAGGATGCTGAAAAGAAAGCTGTCCCCAAGGAAGGCCAAGTCCGATGCTCCAAGTCCTACCCTGGCAGTCTTTGACAAGTCCTGCGGAATCTATGGGAACCTTGTGAATGCCCAGCACCCAGTCCTAATTTACATACCCTTTTAAATCCCAACCAGTGTTCTGGAGTCCCTGTGCCCCAAGTTCCCCATCTGGACTAGAATAGACTGGACATTTTTAGTTTAGTCTGTTGGAGGAATGGAGGAAAGCAGGTGGAAGAACATTACCTTTCCTTGGCGGGGGGTGGGGCGGGGTGGGGAGAGGTCGGGGGGAGCAGGTTTTTTGGTCCATCTCAAGTCTCAGATGCACACCTCAGAGGGGGAAGTGAGGCTGCGAGGGGACTGACTGAGAGAGACAAGCTGAGTCTGGCTGGTGTAGTCCTGATCCTGTGTAGCTGTCACATAAAATGTTTTGTTCTGGCCTGCAGCCTGTGTCCTTTTATGCCAAAGTAAGTTGTTTAACCCCTGCCCTGGGCGATTCACCCTCCCCGTTGTGGGAGGGCAGGAGTTGGGGCAACCAGGTATCAGTGGCTCACCCCACACACACCCTGCTAGAAGAAGGAATGTTCTGTTTCCTTGAATCCCCTACTCCCAGAAAGGGAGCAGGGTGTGGTCCCTTGTCACAAGAAAGAACCAGCTGGACCCTAAGCGACACGGTAGGTCAGTGGGAAGGAGGTAGAGGGGCTGACTAGAAAGTAACGCGAAGGGGAGTCCCGCAAGGGGTTGGGCGAGTCGGGCTCAGTTCAATCAAACGCCCATCTCCTCGCCCTCGCAGGGCCTGGCCAAATCCTGCCCTCGGCCCTCCGACCCCACCCCGGGTCTGCAGTAGTCCGTGCCTTCCCGCCCCGCCCGAGACCACAGCGTCGCAGACAAGACAGAGCGCAGGACCCCAGGCAGACAGGCGCCGGCGCAGGCCCACTTTATTGGCAGGGTCAGCCGCACTGGGCGGGCCGTCATGCTCGCGCCGGCGGGGCGTTCGGCTCGGCTCGGCATGCACGCCGCGGGCCGCCGCTGGGCTCCCCTCCCCGGGCGGGGCTCAGAGCTCCGGGGGCCCGAGGCCCGGCGGGCCGGCGGGGGCGAGGTCGGGGTACACCAGGAAGCCGGAGAAGGTGATGTACTTGCCGTGGTTGCTGTAGGCGCCATAGCCGTCGTGGTCGTGGCTGAGCAGCCAGACGGCGTCGCCGCGCCGCAGCGCCAGCATCACGCTCTGGCTCTGCATCTCGCGGCGCCGCGACGCGCCGTCGTCGTAAATCATGGCCTGCACCTCGTCGCGGTTCTTCATCAGCTTCACGGACAGCGTCTTGCGCGGCAGCTTGCCCAGCGTGAAGGAGAAGAAGTAGGCGCCCGGCAGGCGGCAGCGGAACACGCCGGCCGCCGCGTCGAAGTCGCCGCCGATGTTGACGAGCTCCGTGTCGAAGGCGAGCGGCCGGTGCCGCGGCCCCGGGCCCGCGTCCGAGCCCACCAGGCTGCGCGTGCGC